GAATAATTCATAGATAATATAAATTCTCTGACCAGATAGAGAACATGGAAACCTGCAACAAGCTCCTTCCAACCTTTGTATGCAACTACTCATAAAATGATCAAAGGTATATTTACAATCATGTAAAAACTACAATTTTGGAGAGTGATTAGGTTTTCAACATCACATCTTTTTGTCTCCAGATGCTCAGTAAGCTTTTACCTTGATACTGTCATTAAAGGGGAAAAAATGACACAGTTGAGAGACAAGAAATTGCCCGGACATCTCAGAGGAAAGTGTGGTGGCTGCCTGCTTTCTGGTTTGTGCAAAGCTTTGGTTTCTGAAATATGAAGAAGAAGTAGAAAAAAAATATAACCAGGGATGAGCAGTAAGAGAAGAAAGAACAAGAGCTATATTGAGAATTTAAATATTCAGTCAGTATATTCAATATGCAGTGATTGAGTGATATGCAGAAGGCGGCTGAGTTACTTAAATTCATTATCTCAAATATTTTTAAAAATCTCCTATGATGTAGGTATACTCATTTTAATTTTATATAAAGAAGAATTGGAAATTAAAACTAGTAAGTACTTCACTGGAGACCATATACCAAGACAGCAGTAGGGCTCCAATTAAAATCCAGACAGTAATCATCCAAATACTTATTGTGTTTATGTCCTATTATGAAACTTTTAAATAAAGTTTGAATTACACATAATAATATGCGTGTTTTATGGTATTCTTATTAAATAAAGCAATAGTAGAATTACTGCTGTCATAATTCGATGAATATAGTCACTAAAACTATATAAATATTATTAAAATTAATTTAACATGAATGAACTTTAGTTATCAGCATTGCTAAAAGCCAAAATAATATTATATCACTTTTATTGGGAGGGAGTTTTTAGGGGGGTAGATTATCAGGGATCTAATCCAGGAGCACTTGATCACTGAGCAACATTCCCATCCATTTTTTAAAATTTTATTTAGAGACAGGGTCTCACTAAGTTGCTTAGAGTCTTGCTAAGTTGTTGAAGCTAGCCTTGAACTCATGATCTTCCTGCCTCAACCTCTCAGTCGCTGGGATTACAGGTGTGGATCACCATACCTGACTCACCGGGAGAATTTAAAAACAAAAATTCCAAACTAAATATACTACTTTCCTGTAGACATTTTAAATATTATGCATAAAAATTAATGTTTTAAATGTAGGAAAAAGTATGTGATATATTATGGAACAAATTTTACTCAATTTTATTCTAGGCACTTGGGAAAGATTTGATTTATAAGATTACTTAAAAAATATATTTTTAAATTTATAAAGTACTTCTATACACTGAATTAATCTTAAAAATCTATTAGATGTGTTCAGAATCATCTCTCCAACTTTCATTTCATTGCTTGAAATTCTTTCCTACACAAATATACCTCTCAGTGTATTGTACATCTATTTTAGTAATGCTGTCCACATAGTAAGAGTCATTCTGCAAGTATTTGATTAAAATTAAAAGTTAATTGCCATGCATTTTCTAATGCATTTTAGACATTTTTTTACATATATAAATTGGATAAAGTCCCTAAATGTAATAAGATTTTCTACAGTAGTTTTCACCTTACATTTCACATCTGCTTTTCTTTTTTGCGTACAATGTGGCACTCTGTGGAATATTGCAATAATAGGAATGCTGCCCTGTTTTATTTATAACTGTGTATCCTTGTCATCATCTGTGTACACTACTTTTTTAAAATTTGTGATTCGATTGCCTATTCGGGTGATTTTATATCAGCAAAAGCTCTGCTGTCTGTCACTGTCACTCCATTGTCAGAACCATTCATTTAGATGAGGTTTTTGTTAGCTGGTGACTGAATTATAGCTTCCTTGCTCACTTAGGAAATCACCCCTATTTTCAACGCCATAGGAAAGTAATTGTAAATCACACAAATCTTCAGTACCGTAATGGCCCAAGGAGGAAATCTAGATGTCTATCCTAGTCTCTGAAGACTTATTATCTAGGCCAACCAGCCTCACTTCTATTCACCACACACTTTCTCCGTTCCTCAAACCCAACTCATTTCATTCACTGCATTTGTCACACTACTTCCCCGTGTAAGATTTTGAAATACATTCCACCTTAAAGCCTAAAAAAAAAACAAAAAAACTTCTTCCAGAAATCCACATTTTCATAGCTAATTATATTTTATGGGACAGTTCAATTGTCATTTATTCCAATGTCACATTTCCTTCCAAATATCCAGAGCATTCTCCTGAAATTTTTTGATGACAAACTTGAAATAATAGCTATTTAGATACATATCTTGCTCCAAAAGCAAGGTTAGCATATGATACAAATGTTTATGTGTGTCAGTTTCATCTCTTCTTTAATCACTACAGTGTCTTACAATGACACATGTTCAGTTGCCACTGAATACATTATCCACAAATATATCATGGCATTTGATAGACCTTTTCTTCAATTCTAGCCTTTATATTTGCAGCTGTATAACCATTGGCTATACATTTACTCTCTTTGATCCTATTTCCATATAAACATATGAAAATGATGGTGGGGAGAAATATATAATGTATATACAAAATCTGACATGAAATAAATACTTGGTACCTGTTAATCTTCTAATTTCAAATACACAAAAATTTTAAGATACTGGTATCTAATGAACCAAGATTCCTTCCCTTTCTTTAAAACATTGCTGAAGTCATACTCTTAGGTTTATTCATATGTCTTTTAATTTTTCTCTTACTCTGGTATTTGTCTCTTTCAGTTATCAAGAGAAAACGTATCCAGGAAATTTTCTTCTGTGGCCAATCTCTCCAAAAGTTTTAAGGATAATTCAGAAAACTTAGTTCTACATTTCCCCTTCAGTAAAAAAGCAAGTGCAATTTTTAAAAAGTCTACAAACTTTCTAAGAGGGTAACAGCATTAAGGTAGTAGTATACTGAACAGTTTCACCAGGTGTTATCTATAAACTTTTGCACAAAGTTTTAGAAAGGTTACGACTATAGATTCTCTGCCAATAAGATTGTTTTATTTTAAAGTGGATTATGCTTATGACTTAGCTATAAATTCCCTCTAGATAGCATTACAAAACACTGAATAATTTTGTACTATTAGAATTTACAAATCAATATTGAGGAGAGACAATTATCCCAGGATGTCCACTCTGCAATTTACAATTATGGGCACCAGAAGTCCTTTGCATTTTCTTATTCAGTCTTTTCTTGTTTCCTTTTCCAGCCTGGTGCAATGGAAGGTTCTGACAAGCTCTCAGACCTCAAGAATGAACTCTGGCAACACTGCAGCTGCATCCATCTCAATTTCAGTTTGGCACCTGCCTGAGTTTCAGCATCTTTTGCAATTCCAGGCCTGGAAGTTCTGAAATCTCCACCAATGTGAACTGCTGGTTGTTCTTTCACATTTTAGTGGTTGCTGTGGCCAAACATTATATTAGGAAGCATTCTTCTACCAAACCTTATGTCAAAGATATCTTCATAGGCAATATAAACATTCAAACTGTGGCTTTTTAACTCCTTAAGGGCATAACAATTCAGCTAATGAGTCCCTTTCTTTAAGTCTGTAAATAAATACACAGGTTAGAAAAGACCATACAATGCTTAACTGAAAATGGCATTTTGAGAGAAAGCTGTTTAGTATGGGGGTGTACCCCAATTTAAATGCATCAGAGTCTTTATACCATATTTTTCCCAACTTTTCCTGTAGCTGTGTGCTCCTTCAATATAAATATTTACTGTTTATTTTAAATATTATGAATTAAGCAAATAGTATCATCAGTACTAGCGTTAATTTAAAGTAACTTCTAGAATATAAACCTTTATTATTCTCTGCATTCAGTTGGCAAATAAGCCTGAGTCATGCTCTTTTATGGTTCCCTGGATTACTATAACTATTCCCTAATTGTTCTCCATATCTCCACGCTTA